ATGAAAGCAAAAGTCCTCCCAAACACTAGGCTGTATTTAAAACACAGTTGGAAAGTTTCCATCCCAGTGGTTACTCTTTACAGTATATATATGCCACACTGTGGTGGATATACTGTCACCAACACTGGTCAATGCAGAAACAAACTGGACTTCATTTTATACTTAAGGTAGAATCTGGAGTAAGCCTTATGAGTCAAGAAGGATCTGGTTTCAGAGGTGACTCCTATGGGGTAAGTATGCCACAAACTACCTAATTTTTGAGCTTTCCCTTCATCTCATCCACTAATTAAAGACTAATCTTTTGCCTTCTATAGTATTTTTCCATGCCTACATATTGATCTTAGTGTCTTAAATGTGTTATTTAGTGCCGCGGCACACGCGACTGCCTTGAGGGTCCCAAGAGAGAGCTGCAAGAGATTAAGACACAGAAAGACATAAAGAAAAGCTGGGGCAGGTGGGACCCTTTCCTCTGATGGAGGGGCTAGTGACCTGAACCAGTTCAGCACGTTTATTTTATAATCAAGCACGAGGGAAGTTGTAAGGGATTCAGGGTTTGTGAAGGAGCAATAACGGAATTAAGTTGCTGCCTAAAAGGCAAGCTGTTCCACAGTTATCTTGTTGTAGCTAAGGCTTTACCTGTACTATGTGCACCCAGATGTGTGGGCATCTGAGACACCATATCATGTAGCAGGCTGCATCCCTCACAACCTGCCTTTGGCTAGGATGCAGAGCTTCCAAGCGAGACCTTGCCTACAAACTTGTGGCCATTAAGTGAGACCTTGCCTTTGCTTGGTGCCTTTACTCAAGGCCTGCTACAGTGACAGTGCTCATCTGCTCCCCACATCACATCCACTCCCGACAATTTAGTTGATATGCTTACCAAAAATATTATAGGTTTTCTCTCTCAACTAATCCAATTCTATAGAGTCTCACACACTAACTAAATGCATCGTTTACAATCTCAAATTCCTGGATGCTCATTTGGAAAGAACCATTTGTACATGCCGTTCAACTACCCTAATATTTTCTAATTATTTTTGTATTTTGGTTGTTCCATTATTTGGCCAAAGTAGTAAATGCAGAAAAACTCAGTCACTAACATTCATAGGGTGAGGTACAGTCCAATTTGAAGACAAATAATGATATTGAAATGACTTTTAAAAGCAATGGCATTAAATTAAAACTACACTAGGATACCACCTAACTCCAGTCAGGATGGTTATCTTCAATAACTCAAAGAACAACGAATGCTGGAGAGGATGTGGCGAAAAGGGAACACTTCTACACTGTTGGTGGGAGTGAAAACTAGTACAGCCTCTGTGGAAAACAGACCTGGTACATAACATGTACCTGTCAGTTAACTTTTTAATTATCCAGTTTCTAGCCTGAAAAGGATAAAGGCAAAAATAGAGAGGGATTGAGATAAAGGAAGACAAGAGAAGAAAGAAAGGGGGGAAATAAGATGGAAGGAGAGGGAGGAGAAAGGGAGGAATTTTAAAAAGGACTTGGCTTTCTGCCTTACAGAAAGTCTAAATATTTCCATGAAAGTCAATTTAAATAATATAAATGAATATTTTAAATCCAAATGAACTTAGAATTTTGTCTTTTCTCTCATAAAGGACAGTCAAGACTAAAGTAGCTTTCCATATCTATTACTTAAGCTAATCTCAAAAAAGAAATCTCTTTTATCAGTGACTGAGAGTCAAGGGTCAGTCAATGTATGAAAATAAGTGTCATTACTCAAGCCAAGGAATATATGATTTTGAGGACAAAACCTCTTGTGAGGAAATTTAAAATACAGGGAAATATATAGTGCTAGAATTGTGTAGTCTGTATCTGGAGTCTCTTTTGAAACATAAGCATCCGTTCTTAAGTTATTCATTGGACAGTTACTCCCATAGTTTGTGATAGACTTTAGTTCAATTCACTCTGCTTGTACATATCCACTTAGCAATAGATTTATTTCTGAGAAGTAAGCATTTGTATTAGAAATGCAACATTAAGTTATTTCTCTAGATCTTGCCTAGTAAAATAAGGAGCCTCCAAATATATTTTACAGCTGTGCATTGAAGACAAATCTGTCTGATTCCCTGGAGGAGAGGTAGATTCAAGACTTAGAGAAGTTGCTGGGCATGGTGGCTCATGCCTTATAATCCCAGCACTTGGGAAGCCAAGGTAGGAAGTTTTCTTGAGCCCAGAAGTTTGAAACCAGCCTGGGCAACACAGCAAAACTAGGTTTCTATGAAAAATCACAAACATAGCTAGTTACTCAAGAGGCCAAGGTGGAAAGATTGCCTGAGCCCAAGAGGTCAGGGCTGCAGTGATCCATGATTGTGCCACTACTGGCCTCAAGTCTGGACAACAGAGTGAGACCTCCCTAACCTGCAACAACAACAACAGCAACAAAAAGACATAGAGAAATTACTCATGAAGAACATTTACTCTAACATTTTAAATCGGATAATTTATTTTTGATAGCCATAAGAATTTTTACTTCTAATGAGTAAAGTGTTTGATTTATACTTCTACACATAGCTCCCCTTTTTTAGCCAAGAAGTTGTGCACACATCTGAATTCGTGAAAACATTTATTTTCAATTTTGAGTTTACTACATTTTATACATGAGACATATTGATCTGCTCACTAGTATCTGCTCACTAGTACCTGTCTTTAACTTCTTTCTATTCCAGAAATTCTTAGTTCATATTATTCTCTTTGAGTACCATGGAAAAATACTATATATACTAAATGGAAGAAGCAAATCTATCAACTGTATCTGGGTTTAGTTTGGAGGGACATTCTATTTCAAGGGAGCTTCCAATGGTCCTCTTATTGTCATTTTCTATACTCTACCTGACGACTGTTGTGGGTTACCTCCTTGTTGTGCTATTAATCATCACTGACATCCCCCATCGTCTTCAGTCTCCCAGGTGCTTCCTTTTAGCCAACCTCTCATTTGCTTACTTCTGCCTTTCCTTAGTAACCACCCCTAAACCAACCACAATCTTTCTAAAGGAAAATAAGACCATTTGTGGGGGGGAGGCTTCATGAATCAGATTCTCTGTGTGCATTTTTTTGGAAGAAGTGAGATGGTACTTCTTGTGACAATGGCCTACAACAGTTATGTGGCCATCTGTAAGCCACTACATTGCTCCAGTTTTATGGGCAGACAAAAATGCAACTGGCTAGTTTTGATATCATGAATCATTGGCATTGTGCATGTTATGAGTCAACTGGCAATGATGTGGGTCCTGCCCTTCTGTGGACCCAAAGTAGTGGATAGCTTTTTCTGTGATATACCTTTGATGATCAAACTAGCCTGCATAGATACTTATACTTTGGGAAGAGTAATAAATGCTGACAGTGGGACTTTGGCAGCAACTTCCTTCGTTCTCTTGCTGATCTCCTATACTTATATCTTATTAACTGTCTGTCCTCACTCTAAAGATGGAGCATCAAAAGCACTCTCTGCCTGTATTTCCCACATCACGGTGGTGTTGCTGTTCTTTGGACCTTGCATCTTCATCTACCCGTGGCCACTCAGCATCACTTGGGTGGACAAGTTTCTTGCTATATATTACATAGTAATCACACATCTCCTGAATCCAGCCATTTAAACATTGAGAAATTAAGAAGGCCATAAGAGACTGACAAATCAGCATATGGATTCAAAGAATACTTGTTAGATATCTCATATAATCAGAAACTTAATTCTGAGCTATAAACTGAACTGTGGATATTATTTATTCAATCTATAAGCCATGCATAGTCTCAGATGTATGGTCTATGCTTTTTCCATTATAAAAATATGTTCAAAAATCCAGCATTTCGATTCTTACAACTTGAAGGAAATAATAATTCTGTATAAATATTCCCTTATATGTGTTCAAAAATTACCATATGATAACAATAATAATTATAAAAACAATTGCCATGATTTATTAAACACTACTTATGTTCTCAACACACTTTACCTAGATTATGCATTACTTACAAAATCACTTTGAGTTAGTTGTCATTATTCCCATTTCTAAAATTTATTCATCCTAATTCTAACTTAGCTGAAGAGGGTACTAAATATATTTGAGTACTTAGAAAACAAAATGATAAATGAATCAAACCATAATACTATTTCCTCATGATCCATGACATAATCTTTTTAATTTTAAATTTCAAGGTTTTTTCTTTTTTTAATTTGAGATCTCATTATGTACAGGCTGGAGAGCAGTGGCACAATTACAATTCACCTCAGCCTCGATTTCCTGGGCTCAGGTGATCCTTCTGCCTCAGCCTCCCGAGTAGCTGGGAATACAGGCACTCATCAACACACCTGACTAACTTCTGGGTTCAAGCAATCCTGCCACCTCAGCCTCCAAAGTGCTGAGATAACAAGCATGAGCTACCACACCTGGCCTGTTTTCAAGTCTTAATTGTTGATATTAATGTAGAGTTTCCCTAGAATTGCTTTTCCTTAAATACACAGGGAGAAATGTTTGTTATCCTTCAAAATATTCTTATCTCAATTAAGAAATTTTTTTTTGGTTGTAGTTTTACCTAACATAAGGAAATAAGATTAAGACAGCTATGAGCATGGGAAGGAAGTATGCATTGCTTCAAAACTAATGATTTAAACTGATAAGAAGAAAACCAAGGATCAACCATCAATTAAAAACATCACAATACAATTAACTATTCATTCACTAAAAAGTGAAGGTAAGCTATATGATTCTGGGTTATATACCTAACAAATGGTCTGCTTTTAAGGATGCCCTCATCTGACATTCTCCTCCCATAAATAATACATAAATGAATACATATTTACATATGTTTGCATATGTATTTGTATAATGCCTTTATGAAATACATTTATTTTATATATATAGCAAAATAGAGAAGAAAAATGCATATAGTTTGTTTCTATTATAAGTAAAGTTAGAATGAGCAAATCCAGTTATATCAATATAATATGATCTTTTAAAATAAAATAGCTCCTCAGTGCATTACTTACCTCGACTCTTAGCTTGTCAGGGACGGTAGCCAGGACCCAGTGTCTGCTCCAGTCTCCTTCTTCTCCTAACACTTAGCCACTATGCGTGAGTGTATCTCCATCCACATCAGCCAGGCTGGTGTCCAGATTGTCAATGTCTGCTGGGAGCTGTACTGCCTGGAACAGGGCATCCAGCCCGATGACCAGATGCCAAATGACAAGATCATTGGGGGAGGAGATGACTCCATCAACACATTCTTCAGTGAGTCGGGCACTGGCAAGCATGTGCCCAGGGCAGTGTTTGTAGACCTAGAACCCACGGTCATTTACGAAGTTCTCACTGCCACCTACTGCCAGCTCTCCCACCCTGAACAATTCATCACAGGCAAGGAAGATGTGGTCAACAACTGTGCTGAGGGCACTACACTATTGGCAAGGAGATCATTGACCTCATCTTAGACCAAATTCGCAAGGTGGCTGACCAGTGCACAGGTCTTCATGGCTTCTCAGTTTTCCACAGCTTTGGTGGAGGAACTGGGTCTGGGCTCACCTCCCTGCTGGTGAAACTTCTCTCTGTGGATTATGGCAAGAAGTCCAAGCTGGTGTTTTCCATTTACCCAGCCCCCAGGTTTCCACAGCTGTAGCTGAGCCCTACAACTCCATCCTCACCACCCACACCACCCTAGAGCACTCTGTGCCTTCATGGTAGCCAATGAGGCCATCTATAACATCTGTGTAGAAACCTTGATATTGAGCGCCCAACCTACACTAACCTTAACCGTCTTATTAGCCAGATTGTGTCCTCTATCACCGTTTCCCTCAGATTTGATGGAACCCTGAATGTTGACCAACAGAATTCTAGACCAACCTGGTGCCGTATCCTCACATTCACTTCCTTCTGGCCACATACGATGCTGTCATCTCTGCTGAGAAAGCCTATCATGAACAGCTTTCTGTAGCAAAGATCACCAATGCTTGCTTTGAGCCAGCCAATCAGATGGTGAAATGTGACCCTTGCCGTGGTAAATGCATGACTTGTAGCCCGTTGTACTGTGATGATGTGGTTCCCAAAGACATCAGTACTGCCGTTGCCACCATCAAGACCAAGCGCAGCATCCAGTTTGCAGACTGGTGTCCCATTGGCTTCAAAGTTGGCATTAATTACCAACCTCCCACCATGGTGCCTGGTGGAGACCTGGCCAAGGTGAAGAGAACTGTGTGCATGCTGAACAATACTACAGCCATTGCTGAGGCCTGGGCTTGCCTCGATCACAAGTTTGACCTGATAGATGCCAAGCATGCATTTGTTCAGTGGTACATGGGTGAGGGGATGGAGGAAGGAGAGTTTACTGAGGCCTGTGAGGACATGGCTACCCTTGGAAAGGATTATGAGGAGGTTGGTGTGGATTCCGTTGAAGGAGAGGGAGAGGAAGAAGGAGAGGAATACTAATACTATCCTTTCAGCCCTGCAGCATGTCACCTCCCAGAATTTCATTCCAACATTAGCTGACAGGCATTGAAGCTTTCTGGTTAGATTGTTTTCACTCAGTGGTGATCATGTCTTTTCCATGTGTACCTGTAAGATTTTTCCATCATGGCTCAAAGTAAAAATTTTAAGATATAAATAAATAAATAGATAATAAATTAACTTGTATAATATTGCATATTCTATATCCTTAGATGATGAAAGTCCTTTTCATATATGTATAATTTATAGTATCTTAATTTCTAATCTATTCCCATGCACAGTGAAAAGTCATAATTTTTGATTCTCATCTCTATACAGATACCTAACAAGCTAATGGTGACAAACCAATTACCTCAGTGCCAATGAATTAAGGGGTCATAGTGACAATATAATGAATCTAACAAGGCTATATAAGTAATTATAATCATAGTTTCCCCAAATGAGATGATCATGGAAGCATCACTCATTTTTGCCTACAGTCCTATATGGGGACATAATAGTGATTTCTTGTAATATTTCTGAGATTAAATTATCTCCATTGTGCCCACTGACCTAACTTTACTTCATGAGTAATTTGAAGCCTGCATGTAACATATTTTCTCACTTTCCTGTGAACAGAACAGAACATAACAAAAGGACATCTTGAACGAGTCTTTGCTGGGCTGTATAATTAGTTTTTGTAGACTACAGTCCTACATGGGACACAATAGTGATTTCTTGTAATATTCTGATATTAAACTATCTCCATTGTACTGATTGACCTTACTTTATTTCATGAGTAATTTGAAGCCTGCATGTACATGTTTTCTAACTTTCCTTTGAACAGAACAGAACATAACAAAAGGGCATCTTGAACAAGTCTTTGCTGGACTGTATCATTAGTTTTTGTAGACTACAAATGAGGTCCTACTGCCCTCTGGTTTCTATGCATATGAATTTTATGGAACTCATCAGCAGTTTAACATTATTCACTTCTAAATAATTGATGCTTCAAAAAGAATCACAATGCATCCTCTACAGCATCTGTTGTTTTTTGATTTATTAGTGATGATCATCCTGACGAGTTAGGTGGTATCTCAGTGGGGTTTTGGTTTGATGATTAGTGATGCTGAGCATTTTTTTATGGATCTGTTGACTGCTCTTACGTCTTCTTCTGAGAAATGTCTATTCATATTTTTGTCCACTTTTTAATAGGGTTTTTTTTTACCTTTTGGAACATTTGAGTTCCTTGTAGATCCTGGATGTTAGGTTTTTGTCAGATATACAGTTGGTAAATATTTTTCATTCTGTGGACTATCTTTCCACTGTAAATTAGTACAACCTCTGTGGAAAACAGCGTGATGATTTCTAAAAGATCTAAAAATCGACTTTCCATATGACCCAGCAATCCCCCTTCTGGGAATATACCCGGAGGAACTCAAATTATTCTCCAAAAATATGCCTACACATGCATGTTTATTGCACTATTCACAATAGCAAAAACATGGAACCAACCGTGCTGCCCATGGAAAGTGGACTAGATTTTAAAAAGGGGGGTGGAGGTACATACACATGATGGAATATTATGCAACTATTAAAAAGGACAAAATTATGGACTTTGCAATAATTTGGATGGATTTAGAGTCCATCATACTCAGTGATCTATCACAGCAACAAAGAACTGAGTACCACATGTTCTCACTCATGAGTGGACCCTGAACATTTATCATAATACTACATGAAAGGCATTGGGAGAGGCCGATCACTGGCGGAGGAGGGGAAGCACATAATACTAATAAGGGTACCTGATCCCAAAGCAGGTGAAGTGAGGACCAATTGGAGGCCCAAACTTCACCTGTATGATGACCACTTATGCACCTAACCCAGAATTGTACCCCACATCTTTAAAATAAAGAAAAAATAATCACAAGGAAATTTTTTTTAGTTTGTGAACTGAAGGCTAATGAAAACACAATAAATGTAGTGAGTATAGAGTACAGCCACAGTCATGCTTATAGGGGCATTATTATATATGCATTTAAAAAAAGACTCAGAGATAATAGCACCAGCATGCTGGGACTTTGTCTTCACATTTCGGGGTCACGGGCCTACGGTGCTTCTCTGAGTCAGAGAAACAACCAGTAACCAAGATACACTAGTTCCAACAGGTCTACTTTCAACTCTTTAAGACTCCTTTTCTAAATCACTAAATTTCAAAAGTCCTAGTTTATTTTCCTTGTTACCCCCAGTCCTACGGATGGTAGTTTCTTCCTACAGTTACTACTTCCTTAATAATTTAGAGTTCTCTTTTTAGAGTTTCATATACTCAGTTAATGACTATATATTTGGTTATTCTTATGTTAAATACTATCTGTTCAACTAACATGTATTTTCTCTTTGCTAATACCCTAATACAATTTTCCAAAAACAAAACCAAAACCAAAAAGAAAAACCTGAACTCTAAGTGGCTTCACTTATGAACACTCAGAAATACTTAGGAAAAGAAAAAAAAAATGAAAAATATTTTACATAAACTCCCTTGAAAAGAGAACAAGAGAAAACACTTTTGGGGCAGGCTGAAATAACAGCAGAATTATCAGAAATACTGTCCAATATCAAACTTTATCAATATGTCAAAAGCTGCAAGCAACTGCAAGACACAGGTGAAGCAGGAAGAATTCTGAGAACACCAAAGTGACTTTCTAGGTTTGTCCACACTGTTTTAAAATGTACCCTGAGCCAGCTATAACAAATGAAGACTAGACTCTAACGATGCATGTATAGCCTTACTGTCAAAAAGGGAGCTTATCATGATCATGAAAGATCTTCAACTTTTACACCGATAATTACATAGATAACACTGATATTTTCCAGCTGGCTCTACCCAATAAATCAATAATTTCCAGGTTGATTGACCATTAGCAAACTACATAGATCAAGTGTTTCCTGCTAAAAAGCTTCCTTGGGTGAAGACTCTCCATTTCTTTTTAATAGTAAATACTCCTTCAGGAGGTCAATTAGCATGTTTGTAAGGGGTTCTACTAGGTCATTTCTATCTTTCCTTCTATACATTTTTTCTGACAGGATATTCATGAAGTAGAGATAATGGGCTTCAGACTAGCTGCTAGCTGTTTCTATCAATTCGTTTATAAAGCTAGCATAAATTCAACATGAAAACCTCACAAAGATATAAGAAAGAAAAAGTATGGGCCATTCACTCTCATGAACATAGTGACAAAAATTCTAAGCAAAATAATAAAAGAGATACTGAGAAAATATATAAGAATAATATATTATGAAAAATTACGTTTACACCTAAAGTACAAGGTTGATTTAACAACTGAAAATCAATCGCCAGGTTAAACAAAAGGAAGAATGACACAAACCGCACAATAAATACAGAAAAAGTATATGATAAAATCTAATGCGTTTTCATGAAAAAATTCTTTAAAATGTTGGCATAGAATGAAAATTACCCAATCTGATAAAGGAATTTACAAAATATCTTCAACACAAATTTTATTTCATGATAAAATAGTGGAATGTTGCCCCAGCTGAGACTGGGAGTAAGAAAAAAAATGCTTCCTCAAAACATGGATATTTTCATTTATTAGAAGTCCTGGCCAATTAAATAAGGCAAGAGAACTAAATAAAAATGTATTTAAAAACAGAAATAATTTGTTATTCTTCATAGACAATACTTTGTTCACAACTTAGATAATTTTTATATAGAATCTCCAAGTTTAAGACAGTCTACCTACTCATAATAACATTTAACACACAATATTGTCTGTTTCATTTGTTTTCCTCAAAAGAAACTAAATTGATGACTTGAACGAATTTGAGTGGAGACATGAATATAAAGGTAGGTTGAATAGTGTTTCATAAGCCAACATGTTTTATCAAAGAAAAATAGGACTTTATCAAAGCAAATTCAAAAGTACTCACACAATGAAAACTTCAAAGACTTCAGATTGAGTGGAGTCCACTATATAATAGGAAGAGGAGAGCCAACACTGTAATTAGCCATAGGATTGCACCACCCATACCTCCTTCCAAGACAGAACTTGCTTTAAAGAGTGCAATTGGCTGACAACTTCCACTTGCCACTTAAGTTTCTGCAACAGCATTCACTCAAGCCACATTGTCCTCATGCTGTTCCAATCCAATGACTGACAACAGTGAGTGCACTAGAGCTGGGACATTCCTTCCCATTGTGGAATTCCTCCAGTAGACAAACTTTACCCTGGAACTCCCATCAAGCTGGGTGACTTTCTCAGAGCTGCACTGTTGTCTGAGGCTACTCCACCCAATCCTCCTTCCTTCCTCCTTCCCTGTCTTCTTTCACAGGGCCACACTGGCATTTAGTTATTAAGGCTTTCCCTGCCTGCTACTGATCCATTTCCCCATTCTCATTTCCCCTTTAACCTGTGCTCTTCACAGATATCTCTTCCAAGAAATTTCTTAAAATTATGTCATAGATGCTGTTTTACAGGATACCTGAACTGAGGTTAAGGCCTGTTTGATCACTGAAGTATTTCTAGTAAAAATACTAAAAGGAGTACCAGATGTTTAAGGGTTAGGGGTTGCCACCAAAAAGTGAGTGTTTGAGCAACAAACAAGTTTTTCTCTTACTAAATTGCCTCCCCAATCCCCATTATGCATAGTGTTATGGTGGTGAAAGTTATTTTAAGTGTGGGCCAATTATTGGCCCAAGGAAATCTATACTGTAAAACTATGAAAAAAAAGCACAGGGGTTGAAAGTGTAGAATGAACACAAAAGAAGATGAGGATAAAACTTATGCTTAGTTGCTCTTGGAGGAATATGGCACATTTGCCATATGCCAGAGCATTTTCTAATGTTTTCTTCTTGCTTTAACTCACTTAATATTTTTGTGAAGAAGAAAACATTCATTAAGCTTGAAACAAAGTCTGCAGGGGTAAAAATTTTTCTTTCTTTGAAATAAAAGGTAAATTAATTTTTTATTTAATGTTAATGTATGAATTCAAATGTTCATGTTTTTAAACTAGTGAACAAATAAAGCAGGTCATTTCTTTTGACATTGGTCAATTTAGTTTAGATAATAATAAATCATGTAATTACATATTCACATTGCCTCTTGTTTTCTTATAGTTTGGATTTCTAAGATGAAGATCAGGTCTGGCT